AGATTGGTGGTGAAGAGGCGAGCTGTGACACGCGGTACAACATCTGCACTGCCGTAATGGCGCAGTGAAGCAAAGAGTATGATTGAACAGGGCGCATCAAAAGTTAGTTAGTAATTTAAAAATAAGCAGAATCTGTCCTTTATGAAGACGTAGAACATTGTAGCAACTACATAAACGGGCCCTAGCAGATACACACACGTTTTCTGTGAGATCTGAGGCTCTCACAAGCCGACAAAGATGTCGATGGTGATATACTGACGTCACGCGGGTACCCACGTTTCAGAGAAACACAATCCCTACATTTTTAGGTCTAAAGATGGAAGAAGTAAGTTTCTCCGAAACGTAGGGGCCCATCTACAAGTCAATACGGCATATAACACAGAATACCACGACCGATGTAAGTCTTTGTATGCCTAACATCAACGGATCGAGAAGGAATTTAGACGTCGTCACCAAATAAGTCCGGAAGTGTTCCTGGAGTTTCAGCCAAGGTTCCTAATATTTGCTAGTATTACCACACGTCAGACTTCCCAAGTACAACCCTCTCTGGCCTTACGGAGCTCGGGGCTGGGCGTAGTAACATAGTCTGCAGCAAGATCCTGCCTTCAACAACACCATAGACAATGGTTAAATTATTGAATCGAAAAATATGTAAGAACCATAATATATACTTACTCTAATATTTAATTTATGTAACTACAAAATGAAGAATTGTTTGTATCAGTTTATTTAAAATCCGTGTTAATATCCTCCGAATGGTCTTGGTCGTTCAAGTGGCCGAATAAATTACTTCGTTAAAAATATTTAACGTTTCTCTCATACATATTTAAAACATTATAAATTTCTTGGTTACATATGGCTTAAAACTGATAGAGGACAGTAGTAGATCCTACAATGAACGAGCTAACCTCAGGTCTGAGGCTAGGTGAACCAGGAGGCCTGACAGATGGTGTTTTGACCTCTTCCCACTGTTTACCTGAATATAGAAGTAGAATCCAGCTTTCTAAACGTTGTAGTTTCATAATTTTATAATTCAGACGACGGACAATGTCGAAAAGAAATTACGTAGTTTAACGCAATATGGATGGAAATCGTCAAATTCCGAGGATTGGTACCGATCTACGACACACCAGCACTAATTTTCTAAATTTTTGTGCAAATTAATATGGAGCTTTCACACGAATACTCATTACAGGCTGCTCATAGAACAGTAAAATCTGCATCACGACGGAGCAGATAGCTTTAACTACCACGCACCTCCAGGTCTTTGAAGTAGTGAGGAAATATCAGTCGTACGTTATCATCATTAATGCGAATGAAAAAAAATTAGCTGTTAAACAAGACGTGAGTGTAGCATGCGACGATATCAAAGTCTGCAACTTCCGTGCACATAATCACATACATGTGTTTCCTTTTAAATATTTACGTGCAGTTCATTTCAGTGACGTAATTCAAAGCAGAATTCAAGTATAAAACAGAAACACCGCCCTTTTGTCACACTTTCGGAGAAAACTAAGCGCGACCCAATTTGGGTTTTATAAAAATGAGGGTCATACTCGATCTGTTAGAAGCAAAATTAAGTTCGTCTGGCAAACATGTAGCAGACACCAAATACCAGGCTTCAGGGAATCATTTCTGAGATGAAACAAGCGGACAGCTACGATTTTCCAATAGACCTATATTTCAAATCGATGTATTTCGTGCAAAGAACGCATACGAAAATACGATATTTGTAAATGTTTTCAATATTGCTAAGGACCTGCTGACACGTAAGCTTATAGGTGTGTTTAAGCTTATGTAGGCTAAATAAGTTTATTAGCCTAAAGTGTTCTTAGAAAAGACCAGATTTTCCGGTAAAAACTGAGCATTTCTCATCTCTCCCACGCGTGCTGCATGCTCCGCTTAATTCACCAATCTCGATTTAAACACCCTGACAATGTTAACGAAGAGCTAAGATTGTAAAGTTCCTTAGTTATAAAAATATTTTATTTCGTACTTCTTTTTGTTAATACTGGCTGTAATAATTCCGTAATTTTTTGTGTTGTCTCTGTGTCCGTGTGAGCTAAATATATGTAACACTTGAACATCCAAAGTGGTATTTTCTGAAGAACGTTCTCTAAATTCTAAAAAAGAGAAAAAATATTACACATTAGACATGAGTCAAATTTCGAACATAGAGCTACAAGTGGTCCGACTGTTCTGAAGAAATTCTGGGGATAAAAATTTAACTGCATCCAGATCTGTTCTCTATAGTATAGTGCAATTACACTACTGCAACATTCATAATAATAGTAATCAGAATACAAGGAAAAGAAAGTACAAAATCTTCTACCCACTACCCCGTATCTTGGTAACAGAACTGTAAACATAATGTAAAGGAACGCATTAATAATACTGCAGTCACGAAATAAACATCATCATTAAAACAGGGAATCTTTGTACTTTTCTTCACAAAGCACACGGTAGTTGAGCGAATTTCACTAGAAAGTAACCAGGAAATGAAATTTAACGACAATATGCTTGATGTTCTGTATTTTCAGGGATATAATTTCAAAAGAAGAATACATTTATGAGCTCACTCACATCTTCACAAGTTCGATACTTAAAATTTAAATTTCACCATTTGGGCACAACCTTCAATTCAGAAAAAAAACATGATCAGAACTGCTCCACACAGGGTCTGGGTTCATCAACATTAACAAGGAAGCAAGCGACCGACGTGTTCTAATTTAACAGATAAAAATATGATCAATTCTAAAGCCACAGAATGGAATAAGTGAAATATATACATTTAAAGCTGGAATGAAGAGTTGAAATACTGTAAGCTGACAAGCGTTGTGCTTAGAACAAAACACTTATTAAACCAGTTATGGAATAAGTATTTTAATTTGGTTATAAGAACGGGTTTACTTGACGGTTAACTTCGTAAACACTGCGTGAGATTTTAGATTCTTAAGGTGACGAGTATGAAGATATCGCCCTCTGGACTGTTGATCAAAGAGTGTAGTACAAGTTTACCAACGTTCTAGAGGTGCCCGCTGCCTCCATTATCAAGGCAATTGCCCTGGTGATTGAGGCAGAAGGCACCATCCTCGGTGCATAACCTACTCAAATGCGGAACGACGCAGGCCCCAATTGCAAGAAGACATGAATATTCTGTAATATACTCACCCTTGACACTAGGGGTGGTAGGGAGCAGCTCTGTACCATTAAAACACCCTTCGCCAGACACAATCACCACCCCTAATACATGTATTTTCCGCGACTCGTATTGGCTGAGGAAACTATTCAATTCAAATAAAAGCCTGAACCAAACCGGCAAGGCTCCCTTCCAGCACAAAAACATTTTGCACAATCTGATCATCTCATTTTTATTCCTACAAACGAACCTTCAGGGTTTGTATACATCTGAAGCTGAGGCGGGGTTTAATTCTGGGCAAGGAGAGGTTGAACCTACTGTAAATAGCAT